TACGTTTCTTCCTAAACGACTGCACTGTGTGTGTGTGTGTGTGTGTGTGTGTGTGTGTGTGTGTGTGTATGCATATTTAAACCAAACACCAAAATCAAAACACGCACACGCACATGCAAACCAACAACAAACAATGAAGGAAAAGGGAGAAAAAACCCGAAGTGTCACAAAAACAGGCAGAAAAAAAAAAAGTCTGTTGGTAAACCCACCGGCGTCTCCACCGACGGCTTTTTTTTTTCTCTCTCGTCCAGCCCGCCACTTTTGTGCACACACATACACTCTGTCTCTCATCATTGTTACTAGGTCCCTGCGTCCGCAAGCCAGCCACCCCAGCCGTGTCTTGGTGAGAAGCATATCTAAGCACATCAGTGAGAGAAAAAAAGAGGAAGGAGCATTTTCAAAACGAGCCACTCACTCAGACACACAGTCCGGCACTGGTGCCGCCACCACCACCCACTCAGAAGCACTGCGGCCAGCAGTCAGCCGTGGCACATTGATAGAGGCCTATCCCCCTTTAGTCTATTATATATATATATATATATAGATGTATAGATGTGTGTGTGGGACCATCTGGCTAGATTTGACACTGAAGTGCTACCTCGTAGTCATGCTGAAGTGCATCCATGTCAGATGGAATGACAGTCATGCTGTTCTTTAACTGGATCAGGTAGTTCGCCACTTGTGTGGGCTCCGTCGTCAGCATCATGAGACGCTGGACTTCGGTGAGCTGATCAGGCCGCAGCTGCTCCGCAAGCTCGTTTTCAAGCAGCATATGCATCACCATGGCGACATCCTGGCCGTGGTACAAGCGCTCCCCTCTTCGACCACCGCTGACGTCGTCCACCATGGGAATAGTGCGGCCGGCGTTACGGTCAACAAACATGCTGAAGTCCACAAGTCTCTCCCAGTGCACAGGCACCAGTAGAGTCAGCGGCAACTCCGCCGCGGTGTTACCGTGCCGAATAGCTAAAAAAATGCAATTTAACCCGCGTAAATCACCGTGAATTGTGCGCTTTACCACAAGGTCCGAAAGCATCCGCAGGAGAAGCTTGACGCAAGTGGGGAAGGAGCGAGCGGACAAGGGCACCGTGGAGAGCGGCACCGCAACGTATCCCAACGGCATGGTGATGACCGTCAAGCCGCCATCGCCGTAGCGATAGCCCGTCACACTCACAAAGGGGGCGGCGAGTGACAAACCAAGCGCTGCACGATAAGACTCATTTTCGCCCTGTTGTACCGCATGCACGCTCCAGCGATACAGCAGGACTTGTGGCGCGTCGTCGGACGCCTGTTCTGCACGGGCCTCATACACATCGGAGGAGGCATGATAACGGTAGACGCAGTAGCGGTATTCACCCAGCGTCACTGTTGTGCCGGGAATCAGCTGTGGCGTCACTCCCGCGATGCTTCTGAAGTCCCCGGCGCAGCAAGCGGCCTCCAAGTTGGCAGCAACGAGGGGAGCCACGAGGGCGGCTGAAATTGTCTCGTTCTGCGCACCGTACACCTGGCGCGAGATTGGGTTGGTGTGTTCGATGGTGCGACGCATAGCCACCGTCGCTCGGCCGGGAGGGAGGAAAAGCTGCTTGGTTGTGCGCTGCTCAGAGGGGCGCGTCGTGGTAAACCGCAGTAGATCCGTCCTTATCGTCGTGTCGAGTGTCGCTCTTATCACGCAAAGACTGTCGCCAACTGTTTCTCCCTCCCTGTTGCCTTCCCCCTCCTGCCCCTCCTCCTCTATCATCACCACCTCTTCCATACCGCCGTCGTCAGCAAGGCGCGGTGGAGATGCCGTGTTGCTGCGCCGCGAGGGCGGTAGCTGCAGCGCAGCAACATCCCCCACTGGCTGCTGCGAGCTGACTGTGGCCGTACCACCCACGCAACCCTGTGTCGCGAAGGCGGGGCGAGAAACGTTGGAAGCAACCTCAGCCTGCTGATGCTGCAAAGACTCTGGAGGGTTTGTGCCGTGTTGTGGGAGCAGCCCCTCGGCGGCATTTAGCCCGCTGTCGCGATAAATAGAAAACGTGGATCTCCGCGCATCACGGGAACTCGTGAAAAAGGAACCGGTGCCTCTCGGCGACAACGCCGTCGCGCTGGAGAACCGGCAGGAGGAAGCAGATACATCGGTGAGATCATTGACATCCCTTTCACCACCATCGACAGAGTCGATGTGCGCCAGTGCCGGTGGCACAAACGAGGTCGGGCGGTACGCTCCGCCCTTGTCGTGCTGCGGCCGCGGCTTCGCGGTTTCCTCTGCGGGGTCGTCGTCCAGCGGGATCTCGGCGCTGAGCCGCACCCCAGACTGCCGCGTCCCACCGCCGCCCTGCTGCACGCGACGGATCTCTTGCTGCACCTCCGCCTCCAGAATCTGGTACAGCACAGAGAGCTCGCGCCCAAAGCGGTCATACACCGGGTACTTTGTGCAGAACTCCACGTTGGGGTCCCGCGAGCTCAACAGACGACACCCGTCGCCCTGCCTCGAAAAGGAGAGGCCAGAAGCGGTGTCGCCCTCGCTCACGTACTCTTGCAGCGTCATCCGTCGGATATGTGTCCGGTCAAAACCGTAAACAGCCTCATATGGCGAGCGCATCCCGCGCACAGAGACCCCTCTGCTTCCTCTCCTCTCCGACCGCTGTCGACGGCCACACGCAGGTGCACGCTTCTCCCGCACACGCACGCAAAGAAAGCAAAAAATAAAAATAAAAAATAGATGAGATATACAAATAAGAAGCAAAGTTGAAGGTGTGATGTGACCCATACAACAGCAGCAGCAAGCGCCTCCCACGCCAAAAGAGCACCTTGAGGAAATCGCAACGCAACAACAAGAACACAAAAGAAAAAGCGCACGCATCATCAACCCCTTGGCGGAGCGCTGTGCTTCAGCACAGTCACACGGATCAGCTCACGGCACTCCGAGTACGAGAGCCACTCCTCGTGAATGCTCCGCAAAGCGCGCGTGATATCTCTCGCAGTGGACATACCCAGGCGCGCCGTCTCATCAGCATTGGTGGTTACATCCGCATGGCTGCCACCCGAAACTGAGATCCACAATACCGCTCTTGCGTCCCACAGCGTGACAGCCGCGCCCGCCGCCTCCTCGTCAGAGGCCAGTACCAGGCTACTCTCCTTGCCGTCCGCGCCGAGTCCGAGGGACGACGCCACCATCGCGCGTCGCAAAGAAAAGAGGTGTGCCACCATCGGGCACAGCAGGCACATGACGTGCGCCGGAGACACCACGACGTGGGAAAAATTTGTGATCGGTGCAACGTCGTTCGTGCGTGATGTGGAGGGGGACGCTGAACGCCGCGGAAGGAGCAATTTCCCGGCACGGTCGTGTGCAGAGGGGGCAAACAGCAGCGCGAAAACCTTCAGCAGCCGCAACATGCGTGGAACATGTGTGGAGACGTAGCTGCCCGGGGCGCTGTGGACCAGCATGGCGCCACGAAGGACCACCAACAGGTGCCGCAGGTACCGCGACACCTCGCCCGATAGCATCACAGTGTCAACGAGGTCGTCGCCGTCGGGCGAGAGCATCACCTCCAGCATGTGGCGCTTGTTCACCACGTTCGAGCTCTGCGTGTCAGACGACTGAATCACGGCAGCACTCTCCATGGCAAGGGCCGACATGTACGTTGATAGCGAAAACGCTTCAAGAACGTACTCGGGCAGCGCCGCAGCGTACGCTCGCGCGTCACAGAAGGCAACAATGCGCAGCGAGGGCACCCGCTTCACGGTGTTCCCCACCCGAAGAAGGCCAAAGACTAACACGTCCATCAACGCCGACAGCACTTGCGGAGAGGCAGCGTATAACTCCCGTAGGCACACCACCGTTACTTGCCGGTGATCCTCCGCGAACCCGAGAGGCACAGACGCCATGGACGCCGATTCTGCCCGCATAAGAAACCCACAAAACGCCTCCCGTCGAGTTCGCTCCGTGATGCGGAGCTCCAAGTACGTGGGCCCTTTTGGCATGGAGGTGACGGTGCTGTTGCTCACGCCGTCGTGCATCACGAGAAGGTGCGCCGATGGGACGCAGCAGCAAATGGAGACGAGTACATACAGCTGCCGGCACTCACACAGTACCGGGTGATGGGTGGCAGGCCACTGCCGCGAGAGCGGGTCGGGAAAGCACTGATTGATAGTAAGCCGCATAAAGCAATACAAATATGCAGATGTGCGTGTGACCAGTAGAGAAGGCAGACCTAACCGTGCAATGCACCGTCGTGTGTTCCTCCCTCCCGTCTACACAAATTCCTCTACCGTCGCTTCCTTTTTTTTTTTGCTTTCCCCCCTCCCTCCCTCCCTCCCTTCCTTCCTTCCTTGCGGTTCGGTCGGCACCTCTCCACAGCTTCAGCCAGCGAGTGAAGAAGAATGCATGTATGCATGCGTACACACAGATAGATAGAAAAAGAAAAAGAAAAGAGCCAGGGAGTGCACGGTCCTAGCCCCAACAGTGGGACACACACACACGTACCTTCAGATGTGTGGCGCTAAGACAAGAGGGGAAACAACCAAAAAAAAAAAAATGGTACAAAGACAGTGATCGCTGCTTCTGCAGCGGTGGACGTGTTGCGCCAATCTACAACTCATCTGCAGGCTCAACCGGCGGCTCTGGCGCGGCAAGCTGCCCGTCCAACTCACCCTCTCGCTCAACAGCTTCGTATGAACGGCGTCTACGACGACGATGATGCCGGTTGCGATGATTGTGGGGGCCACGCTGCAACGCCTCCTGCGCCGCCTCTACGCCCTCGCGGCCCATTGCCTCAGCGTCGTCTGCCGTGCGTCGCGCCCCCGGCACCGCGGACAACGCTTCCTCCTCTCCCTCCTCCTCCTCCTCCTCCTTCTCATTCACCTTCTCCTCCTCCTCCTCCTCCTGCTCCTCCTGCACCCTGCCGCCCTCCACGTCGCGGCGGTGGCGGTGGCGCCTCTTCTGCGTTCGGTGCTTCTGTGCACCCCCTGGCTGTGGCGGCCACTCCGCCAACTCCCCACCGTCATCAGCGTCAGCAACGTCGTAGTCGCTGGTGTCGTACTCGCTCCAGAACTGCACCTCAAAGTCAGGGTCGTCGAGGATCTCGTCAAACTTGTCCCCGTCGCCAATGCGGACGGTGTCGTTGTTAGCCGGCGAGAACCCGGCCGCGCCGAACAACCGATCCGCGTCGTCCGGGGGCGGTGGGGGCGGTGCGGTGTGTCGCCGCCAGAAGAGACCGCTCTCCTCCAGGTCCGACGCGTGCCCAAAGTGGGTGCGCAGCTGCTCAAACTGCTCCTCCTTCATCTGCGCGGAGAAACGCTGCCGCATTTCCTCCACCTGGGCCTCGTACTCAGCCTCCGTCATGAGTGCGTAGATGCAGGCAATGCGTACTTTTTCGCCGCGCGAAAGCGCCTCATGGGCCTCATTCAAAATTGCGTCACGCGCCTTCGTGTGAATGCGAAGGGCCGGCTTATTCGTTCCACATCTCACCCCGCGCTTCTCCCAAGGAACCGTGGCCTCCGAGAAAAGCACAACCTCGCGGCTGTACGACCTCCAGGTGAGCACGGTGGCTGCCAAACAGTAGATGCAAAGATTGATCAGTGCGGCAGCGAGGGCCCACTCGATAGGGGTTGAAAAGGTGTTGTAGTTGTCGTACTCGGATTGCAGCAGCAGCGCCGGGTCTCGCGACCTCGCCTGCTCCGCGCAGGCCACGACTGCATCCGTGTAGAAGTTTCGCACTGGGCGCGTGACAAACACCATCACGATGAGCACAACGCAGTAGAGAACGGAAAGGACGCACAAGATGTGGTAAAATGGCACATGTACGCCACAAATTCGCAGGTGGCGGACCCCCGCCGAGTAGTTCGCCAGACTCAGCGCACTGTTTAAGATTGCCAAAAACTGAACCACAAGAATCGCAATGACGTACTGCGCCATCACCATCAGGGGCACAGGCAGGGAGTTGCTGTTCACGCTTAGCGTGCTGGAGATGCCACCGATTTTAATCTCCGCACTGTAGTTGCAGTGGTCGGTCGCGGTCTGCAGCCCCAAGTCCAGGGTTACCCTGCTTCGGGTGAAGTAGCCAGGAAGGCTGCTCTCCAACCGCACGCAGAACTCCGCCATCAGCACGACAAAGCAGACGACATGAACAATGTTGCAAAACTGGTAGAGTCTCTTGAACAGCCGCTCCCCCGTGCGCCGCGGGTAGACGGCGGAGGGAAACACAAAAAGCATCACGTGCGAAAGACGCAAACAAATACGTGCGTATCGCTCTACTACTACACTATTTCTACTACTCTTGTCGTTTTCCTGTTGGAGAGGTTCCCGTCTCAGCGGCGACTTCGCTGCAGATGAGTGCCACTTCCTCTTCCTCGTCATCGTGAGTGGATCACACAGTGAGGGAGAAAAGAACAAAGAAAGAAAGAAAGAAAGAGAGCCCCCAGTACAGACAGAAGGCGCGATGCGTCCACCACGGCGTCTGGAAGGTCCCCCTCCGGCATGGGCCCGCAACGCCGCAGCTGTAACGGGGCAGCAGAGAAAACGATGAAAAAATAATAAAAGAAATGGAAGATAATCACCTCGGTGGCGAGTCGTCGAGGCAGCCGTGTGATGCGCACCACATGGAGGCGCGCCCCATCACCATCGTGTGTGTGTGTGCCCCCTCACCCCCACCCAGCCACTCTCACGTGATCAACGCGCAACTCCCGCCGCAGGCCTATTATAGTTTTAGGGCAACCAAACACCTCCGTGGTGAGTAAAAAGGAAAAAAAAAAAGCGTATCACTTTCGGCGACGTTGCTTTGAGATCCTCCACGAGCTCCCACTTTCCCAGGCGCGCAAGATTGGGTTGAGACGCTCCGCCCGCTGCTCCTTAGTCAACTGCCCTTTTCGCGGCCTGCTGTAGAAGGCCGGGGCGAGCTCAACCAGCCACTGAGGCTCAATCACCAGCAGCTCCCGCATGTACTCCCGATTCGTCAACTGCAGCTCGTTGTACAAAACGTACTTCGGCGGTGCATCCCGCAGGCATGACGATGGATGCACGTACACCTCACGCCGCTCCGCCAGTGTGGCATATGCCACATCTGTGATACGCTTGGCCGCATTAAAAAAATGACCGGCGGTGATTGCTCGCCGCACCTCGGTGAGTGCGTCGTCGTTGTGGTGCGGAATCGACGCATGACGCTTGCGTAGCATATCGCTTAACTGTTCCCGTGTGTCACGGGCCTCCACCAGTATCCGGTGTTTTAGGAAGTTGCGCTTGCACCACTCCTCATTCAGGCCATTTGCCACCCACGCGTCGTACACGGCGAGCAGCGTAATCTGATCTCCCTCAGGTTGGTGAAACTGCCGCTTCGCCGCGTCAGCCGCCTCGTGCTGGTCGCGTGGTCGGTAGAACACCCCACGCTTCTGCACAGAAAGCATCGAGACTATTGTCAGCACGGGCTCGCAGCATCCCATGTCTACAGCCGTCAGCAGCGTCTTGCTCTGTGAGGGATCAATAGGGAGTTGTGCCATGCGACCACCCAGGGGTGTGAGTAATCCATCGTCATCGAGAGCTTCAAGGTAGCGCAGCTTCTGCAGCGCTGACACAAGCGTCTCTTGCGGTGGTGGATCCATTAAGTCAAGTGCAAAGAGATCATTAATGCCCATGGCCTTCAATTGCAACACCACGTTAAACAAATTGGACCGCTGAATGTCTGGCACGGTGGCAGGCTCCATGTCCATCTGGAACTGTGGCTCGGTGTACATGCGGAAGCACTTCCCGGGACCAATGCGCCCCGCACGCCCGGCCCGCTGCTGTGCCTGCGCCTGTGAAATGGGTACGATCTTCAGCTGTTCCACGCCTGTTTTGGGGTCAAAGACGTTCTGCTTACAGAAGCCACTGTCCACCACAAAGTACAGGTTGCTAATGGTGATGGAAGTCTCCGCCACGTTGGTGGCCAGCACAACCTTCCGGCAGCGCGGGGGTGTGGCCTCAAAGACGCGGGACTGCACCTCCTGCGGCAGCGAGGCGGTAAGAGGCAGCACAAGCATGTCTGGCACCGGCCTATCGCTGAGCTCATGCATCTTATCCATCCAGCGAAAAAGTCGCTCGCCGCCCAGCTCAATCTCCTCCTGCCCCGTCAGAAACACCAAGACGTCACCCGGTGGTTCCTCTAGGTGCAGCTTCATCACGGTCCGGAGGGCGCAGTCAAGGTAGTCCTCGGTCGGCTCTCGGAGGAAGTTCACCTCCACAGGGAAGGTGCGGCCCTCAATGAAGAAGACGTCCGCGACGTTGAAGTAGTTGCAGAACTTCTCTCGCTCGAGCGTGGCGGAGGTAACGATCACCTTCAGCGTTGGCCGCCTGTGTGTCGCATTGCGGACTATGGCAAACAGCAAATCCGTGTTCACTGACCGCTCGTGTGCCTCGTCGAGGATGATGACGCTGTAGCGCTGAAAGGTGTCGTCAAGGAGGGCCTCCCGCAGCAGCATGCCATCCGTCATGTACTTAATCTTTGTCAGCGAGGAGGTGACGTCGCGAAAGCGGACGGTGTAGCCCACCTCCTCACCCAGGCGGCAGCCGTACTCCTCCGCCACACGAATGGCAAGCGTCTCCGCCGCCACACGTCGGGGCTGTGTGCAGCATATAACCCCATACTTATTGTAGCCGTGCTCTGCGAGATACTGCGGGATCTGAGTCGTCTTGCCGCTGCCGGTTTCCCCCACCAACACCGTCACGTTGTGGCCATCCACGTGCTGGAGAATCCGATCACGATAGGCAAAAATGGGCAGCGACTCACGCTGCTCCGTAAGACTCTGCGAGGTAAACGTGGGGCCAAAGCGGGGTTTCTCGCCAAAACTGTGCTTCATCCACGGCGGCAGTCGCGAAGGTAAATCTCGCGCGGAGCGAAATCCACCCGCAAGATCCTCCGGCCGCTCCAGCAGCTCGTGGTTGAGGAGGTCGCTGCCGCCGTTGTACCGGTCATCGGCTCTGGCCTCCCCGTCCCCCTCGTCCTCCCCCCAAGCCCCATCGTGGGCGCCCCTGTTGTGGGGCGCAAAGCCGTCATCCATGCCGCCGCGCGTCTGCTCCGTCAACCGCTGCAGGCGCCTCTCTTTTGCCCGGAGAATCTGTCTGTCCTTGTTGCGCAACTGTTGCGACATGGCCGCACGCTTCATGCTATTTGTTTCTATTTCATCGGCGTTTGCCTGCTGTACGGCCCGTCGCGCGATAATCGCCTCCCGCTGCGCTGGGGTACTCGCCCGCATCAGCTGCTCCGATGGCAGAAGGGCACGGTAGTTGACGGGGCGGTGACGTACCAACCCGCGCAGAAACGGCGCCTCCTCCTCGTTCAGCTCCACCTGCTCCACCTCCTCCTCGTCGGTGCGCAGCTGGAGCAGCTCCGACTCGTCAAGAAGGCCGGTGCGCACCAGCTGCGCCAGCTGCATCTTCTCCTCTGCCCGCACCTTCATCGCCGCTCGACGCTCCGCAGGGTCAGTCGTGAGGCTCGCAAGCGTCCGCCGTCCTTCCCCGACCCGCTGCGCCGCCGCATCCTCCTCCTGCTGCAACAAGTTACGCCGCAGCGCCGCCTCTGCCTCGTTCCGCTCCTTCTCCGCAATCGCGAGAGCACCAGCCTCGAGGCACTTAGGCCAGTCGACACCCCGCAGGTTCGTCTGCATAATCCGCACCAGACCCCGCAGCTGTTCCAATGGAATGGCGGGTTCATCCTCCTCGGCACCGTTAATGGCGGTATTGAGCGCCACGAGAAGCGCCTCTTCCCCGCCCTCGGTGTCGCCGCTGCCGCTGCTCTCGCGCAAAAAGAGTGCCACCAACTCCTCTACATCGTCGTAGTACCCCTCCGCCTGCTCCACGCTCTCCGGACGCCCAAGCAGGTGCTCCAACTGGCGGTACAACTCGTTCTTAATGTATATCAGCTGCATCTGCTGCAGCAGGGACTGATCCTCCTGCATCTTGGGCCCGCCCATGGCGTCACCTCCCCGCCTCCCCCGCACAAAACCTCTAACCCCCTACTGACACCAACAAGCGCAGCACACAAAAGAGGAGCAAAAATAAAAAAAGGAAAACAAAAAAAAACGACAATCCCGCGGGGGTTGCGCCGTAGGAAGGAAAACAATAGCGGCAGCAGCAGAAGACAAAAGTGGGGGGAGGGGGCGAGTAAAGGGGAATGAGGAAGGGGGGTGCAACACCTGACAGCATTCAGTCGGAGAAACAAGAAAAAA